GCTGTGAAGGTCCAGAATTAAAGGCAGAGCTAAGGAACATTGAATTGCGGCCTCCTCAATAACTGTCAGACATCTGTGGTGTAAATAAACCCAGCTAGAATAAATGGGATTACATCTGCAGAGAATTTCACCATGGATTTCTTCTGGCACGTTCCAGCTGACAATTATCAGGCATCAAATACAATAATTAGGCACTCTGACACTGTGAGATTTTTGGTTCAGAGTGCTTGAGTGTGACACTGGCACAGTAAAAATCTTGGGATATTTTTGCCTCATCTTTGTGGCATGGGACACAACAAGCACTTGGAGCACTCCCCTCTGTAGAATTAACACTGTATTCCATTTTTTCCTCAGGCATTCATCTACCCTTTGGAGCTTCAGCCCTGATTTTATGGTTGTATTTGCTGCAATGCTTAAAAGAAGACAATAAAATAAAACAAAATAGCAGAGGAGAGCAAACTGCTGATACTTCGGGTGGGAGCCAGCACTAAAATGTTGAATTGAGTGTACCAAAAATGCAGCGGGGCTGAACAACTTGCTCTTTGCCTTTTAGACTCCAAATACCCACCAAGCTGAACACATGCCCTGCTTTTGACATCTGTCCTCACCAGGAACTCTGCCCTGGAAAGACAAACAGGGATGGCTTGTAGAGGCAGGATGGTGTTTGTCTGATTTGTTTAATCCCACAGAACTTGCTCCACCACCCATTTCCCTTTGTCCACACAGCTCCAGACATGCCAAATGCTCTGGTGGCCCTGGAAGGAGCTGCAGGGCAGGAGCAGGCAGTGGGCAAGGAGAGGGCAGCTCAGCCTGGAGGAAATTCTGGTCTGCAGCACCCAGAGCCAGCCTGGGATGGAATCTGGGGCTGGTGGGAAGCACCAGCCCAGCGTGGGGAAGGGATTTGCAGCCACAGGAGGGGCTGAGCTGGCACAGAAAATGCAGCAGGACACGAGCTGGGAGAGCACAGCTCAGAGCTGTGTAATGATGAGAGGAGGTGAGAGCCAAGGACTGGCTGGCAGCCCTGAGAACAGGTGAAGATGCTTTTTTGGGTGTCCTCGGGCTCAGGAAAAGGCAGAGTTGTACATTTTATACAGAAAATTAAAGCGCATCGAAGAAACTCTGGCTTCACCATCCACATCTTTTAATAGGAGCATCTTTAAACTGGCTCAGTGCTCAGGTTGTAAAAAATAATTATAGAAACCTACTAGGAAAAAATAGACTTTGTGGAGAGTAGGAATGGGAAATATGTTATCACATAGTAAAAATAAAATAACCAGTGATGAAAGAGAATTAAAAAACAACAAACAAACAAAAAAAACCCACACCTGGTTAGGATTTCACTCCCCAAGGCTGACTGGACCATTTCCTGCAGCCTGACTAATCATGAACCTTCTGGGCATTCCCAGTTTATTACTGTCCAAGCTTCTCTCATCCCTGTTTAGGTTAGCACATTTATTTTTAAGGCTTTGTTGATGGCCTTCTCTCCTTACCTCCAAGGCTTTCAGTTGCAAAATGTAGTGTGTACCTGGCAATTCCAAACCAAATCTGTCTGGAATGATAGATTACAAATAAAAAATGAGTGATCTGGGATTCCTTAATAGCTTATTTCCACCATGCTTCCTGCCATGTGCCCCTGCATGTCCCATACATGTATCCAAATGGATCAGAGTGTCAGTCAGCATACTCAATAAATTCATTTTTCCTTTTGGTGTTGATAGCAAGGAAATCATCAGAAATAAAGCCAAAAATGCTTTATTGAACAGCAAAAATTAACTGGTGATGATTGAAAGCTGCCTCACACAGACCAGGAGGTTTTTAATTTCAATCAGCCAGGAAGGAAGTGGTGAAACAAATGAACACAGTCTGAATATATTCAGACTGTAGGTTCTCTGGGGAGAGTGTTCTGCTTCTCCAAGGTTAACAGCCTCACTGTGCCCTGCTTGGTGACCTGATCCCTGCTTTGTGAGTGTCTTCACAGATTTCACAGAATCCCAGGTTGGAAGAGACCTTCAAGATCATCGAGTCCAGCCCAGCCCCAACCCCTCAACTCAACCCTGGCACAGGGCTGCTTGATGGTTTCTTCTCTGGTACAACTTTGCTTCCATGACCCATGAACTCTAATAATTACAGATCTTTTAAACCCTGCTCTGAAACTCCTGGGATCACAACAAATAATTAAATGAAAAAAATCTTTTATTTCTGTTCATTTAGTTAATCTGTTAGGGTTTTGGGGTTTTTTTTGTCTGATATTGCTTAAATTTTTCTATTCAAACTTTTCTAATTGGTAGTGAGAGATTTAGACATAATGAGAAGTGAAGAGACAGCTAAATGAGACAGTTTTGGGGCTCATCAGGCCTGGACCTGTCCTTGGATATTAAGCAAGACTTTGGGAACTCATTGCTAAATTTTCATGAAATGTCAGGTTCAAAGGAATCTGTGTAAGTAATTGGAAGTTGATTTCATGACACTTTGGTACTGAACTCACTGGTGACAGCTGTTATTCCACATTTCAGAATGGATGGAAGGAATTCTTCCCTGGGAGGGTGGGCAGGCCCTGGCACGGGGTACCCAGAAAAGCTGTGGATGCTCCTGGATCCCTGGAAGTGCAGGGCCTTCAGGCTCTGTTTTCCCTCTGCTCTAGCTCCCTCCCTCATTTCCAAGAACACATACCCTCAGCTGAAAAGAATATACCCAGAAAAGCTGTGGATGCTCCTGGATCCCTGGAAGGGCAGGTCCTTCAGGCTCTGTTTTCCCTCTGCTCCCTCTGCTCCCTCCCTCATTTCCAAGAACACATACCCTCAGCTGAAAAGAATATATTATAATATATAATACATTAATAATTATATTCTAAGATATGATACTTATATATTATACATTATAACTATATAATATATTATATAAGTATATAATGTATACTATATTAAAATTATATAATGTATAAGAGATTATATTAATAATATAATAAATTAATATATTATATTAATAGATATATTAATAGATTATATTAATGATACATCCAATATATTATATTAATAATATAACCAATAGATTATATTATAGATTATATTAGTAATACAATGAATATTAATGTTAACTAATATTATCAATATAGAATATTATATACTATATTAATATATTATACTACATATAATAAATTATATATTATATTTATTAGTTAATATTATTAATATTAACAAATATTATTTATATAATATTAATAATGTAACGAATATGTTATAATATATTAATATATTATGTAATATTTATATATAATAATAATATTGACTAATATATTATTATGTAGTAATATACTATAATGTATAATTATGATTATAAATATAAATATATTATATATAATTATAAAATAATATATCCTGACTGGATCTGCTGGTCCTGCCCTGTGAGCCCTGCTCTGCTTCTCCAAAATTCAAGGTAATAATAATATTGACTTATATATTATTATGTAGTAATGTACTATAATGTATAATTATAATTATAAATATATTATATATAATTATAACATAATATATCCTTGTGTTCAACCTTCCACTCCCTGACATGACAGGGGGTCTTTATAATACTAATGTGTTATAGGGTATCCGGATTCATTTCTGGAGCATCCTCAGTCCACAGAGAGCTTTCATGTTGTCAGTTCTCATCCCCTCCACAGCAAACATTCCTGTTCTCAGTTTGCTATGTGCACACAGAATGTTCTGTTTCCTGTTCCAAAGCCCTGGCCGTGCTGCTGTTTCTGTGTAAACCACACCATCTCTCTCTGACCCTGCAAAAGCTCTTTGCTGTGTGTGGTTGAGTTTCCCTCCTGCCCCTGGGGGGTGTTGATGGAGGGGTTTGCAGTGTCTGCTCTGCTCCAGTGCTGGATCCCACTGACTGGATCTGCTGGTCCTGCCCTGCGAGCCCTGCTCTGCTTCTCCAAAATTCAAGATTTCCTGAGGGTGACCACCAAGCTGACCCCTCTTTTCAGTCTCCACTGCCTTTTCCTGTCCCAGCTGTAGAAAATATCCTGTAACACATTTAAAATCTCCTGATTTCGTTCGTGCCATATTTTGATCACCTGTTTTGGGAGAGGCAAGGAGCACCCTAAGGGAGAGCCTGGAAACTCTCCAAGCTGCTGATTTCTCCTGCGTGGGTGCAGCACAGATGCTGAACAGAGCTGCTGTGCCCTCTCTGCTGCCAAGCCCTGGCACTGCAGAGCCCTGCTGAGCTCTCGTCCCACCTGCCCCGGCAGCCAGCACGCAGCAGAGGATTTATTGACTGCCCCTGCAACCAGGCAATTCCCTTAATTGGCTTCATTTCCAGGCTCTGTCACTCTCGCCCTGCACTGCTGGTGGCACAGCTCTTTGTGTGCTGGTTGGGAAAAAACCCCAAAGGCTGGACAGCAAATCAATCAGAGGCAAGGACAGAGACCTCTCGGGGATAATTGCATCCAGAAACCCAAATCCCTTGTCAGGTCTTCCCCTCCTGTGGCTTTGCTTTGAGGAGCCTCCATTAAGCAACAGGACATCCCCAAACAATGCCAGCAGCCAGACAAAAAACTCCTTTCCTTTTCACAGTTACCTCCCCAGTGCTCTCTGACCACACCAAACTCCAAAGCAAGATCTTTTTTGATTGTTTGGGCCAAAATGGTTGGGGTGGCTCAGCTTTTCCTCATTAAAGAGCACTTGGACATTGGTGGGGCTTTTTATTCAGTTGTGGGATTTGTTTTCCTTTTCTTTGGGTGTTCATCCCTGTGTCGTTCCCCACGAGGAGCTTGGGGTCTGAGCTTGGCTATGCTTTAATTAAATGCAGTGGGAGTCAATAATTGTGAGTTGTTGTTGACAAAGAGTTGCTAGGTGAGAAAATCACACACTATTTTAATAATTTAAAATTTGCTAATAATAAATAATAATAAATGTTAATAACGAATTTAATAAACTCATTATATCCAGTATATCATTATGTCTTATATACACATCTTACTTGGTATCACAAATGCACTCAAAAATTATTTATTTCTGTTTCAATATCTCTTTGACCAGTAAAAAAAATAAATAGAACTTTCATAAGCAGGCTTTACAGTCTCTTTTGAGCAAGGTGGTTGTAGCACGGTTGTGATCCTACAAAAATACTGTGCTAGAGTATTGTACACATTCTGTAAAAAAACCTGACCTCAGGGGGTGAGCAGTCCTCTGGCAGTTTTGGGATACCATCCAGCATTTTCAGGTTTGGCAAATTGGAGAACACACTTAAAGAGAGACAAAAGAAAAAACAGAAATTGAGAAAAATAATCTTGGGAAATGTTGAGAACAAAACAGACACTGATAAAAAAAGAAACAGCATATTCAAACATATCTAAAATAGATTTGGGTTGTTGGAAATCTTGATTTGTCATTTGTTGCAGAATTTATCTGATAAAGAGCTAATTAAAACTCTCAGATTTCACTCTATTGCACCACCTTTATATCCTCAGACCCAACAAAGCACTTCAGGACTCTGTCTTCCAACACTGAGAATGAACATCATACCAGAGTTGTACCAATATTTAATTGCCCTAAGAACTGGCAGATTGAGAGCAGAAACACAATTAGGAATTGTTAAAAGGTGGTTTATCTGCTTTTGTTCTCCTGGACTTGTAGATATGCAAATAGAAGGTGAAATCCATCATTTAAAATGTACTTTTCCCCTTCCATGCTGATATCTGCCTCCCTGCCTTTGTCAGCACCACACTGCCAAAGGGATGCCCACAAGACTAAAGGGAAATATACTGAAAATTCAGAAAGGACAAGTTTAAAGAAGAGTTTAATGAAAACCTTTCTTTTTTTTGAATGCTGGGAGGAGATGTGTCCCATTTCAGACACATCTGTGTGAGGTTTAGCTTCAAAATATCAAATTATCCTGGCTGTGTTTGTAGTGGGGCAAAGCATGCAACCATGCAGATTTTCTGAGTGAGGTTTAGAACAGATTATATTCTCCTGGATTTCTTGGATTGTAATGCCTTGGATTAGAATTTCCATTTCCAGTGCCTGAGGCTGCTCTGTTAAATCTCCAGTCCATCCCAAAGCCTGCAGCACAAATTCCAGGGGCTGCTCAAGGCAGAGCAGCTCCCACAGGGGCAGGGGGAATCCAGAAAAATCAAATGAAGGGAACTTCATTTTCTCCTGCTTTTGCTCCCATCTTTCAAGACATCCTCCTGATTCCAGCCCTGACATGTAATGCAATTTAGGCTCCTTGCAGAACCCACCAAGGATGCAAGGAGACTGAAGAGAGTTTGAGTAATAGGTAATTTCTATTAATAAAAAGGAATCTAATTTATCTGCCCTTTCACTGTCTCTAAGCTTGATCCATGGGCTTAGTTCAGTTCCAGAACTGCCACTCATGCCATTAAAAAGCATCATAGGCAGTTTCTGAATATTTGGGGGCTTTTATCACACAATAGCTCACTAACCCACGTTCCTGGAGCATTTCAGAGCATTAAAACCACAGGAAAATGAAAAGCTTCTCTATAAAGTTTGTTTGGTTTGAGATCCCATTCCTCTGAAACTCTGACAAACAATTTTTTGTGTTTATCACTTTTGTTAGCCACGAGAGGGTCAGACTTACAGCTGTCTGTATCTTTCCTGGAACTCACAGGGATTCCTCTTGAGGATGAGGGATTCCAGTGGAGTGTGTCTGAAGTCTGAAATCCCACTCAGGGTTGTGATGTTATTTTCAGCAAGAGACAAGTGCTGAATCTGAGGGATCTTTGGCAGCTGTTTGAAGGATGTAAAGTGGTTTTTATTTACATTTAGCTCTCTGCACCTGTAAAGTACAAAGTGTATGGCATCACTATCACATCTGGGACAGAATCCCTACAACAGGGATGGGTTTTATACAAATTTTGTGGGTTTTATTACATTTTGTGCTGTTTTGCCTAGTCAGGACTGCCAGATCAGATCCCAGCACATTATATTCCCTTATTTTTTATATTGTACAACAGATGCATCATTATTTCTGTTCTCAATACTACAACTCTCCATACAGCTAAACACACAACAGCAGAGTAGCAACAGATGGATGATAAAATAAATTTATAGTTGTCATGGCCGTGCTTGGCCTCTCTGCTTGGATTGTGTTCCCCATCTCTTCACAGAGATTCCTTCTGTGTTCAACAACTTCCCCTTTTGGCACAGATCTCCCTGAAGCTGGACTCATTAATTATTCCCCGGGAATAAAGGGGATGTGATGTGATCTCCTCAGTGGGTATTTTCAGCCTGGGGATGACATGAGCTCAGAGCAGCAATAAACTGATGGATTCTCACTCCAGCACCCCCCTGAGCAGATTTGGCAGCTCTCAAGAGCCTGCTCCAGCTGTCACTTCACTAAAAATTTTGATTTCTGGGATATTACACAAAAATAGAAACAGATTACATAAAAATAGAGGCAGGGCATTTTGTCTACCTTGGCAACCTTATGGCACTGAGGTCTGTCAAAGAATTGTCCACCAACCAAAGCTTTTCCACCCGAATTAATCTGCGCAGGATTCTTTGGAAGTTTTCCACCTGGTAAAGATCACCCAGGTCCTGGAAGGAAAGGTTCAACTCCTGGGGAGGGGAAAAATAAGAGAAATCACTTTTTTTTTTTTTTTTTTTTTTTGCTTTGTAATTGCTATATTATTAAATACAGAATTAGTCAAAGGTAGTTAAAATGAGAACACATTTTATGCTGCTGCTCTTATAACAATTGGTGGTACCAAGTGCCAAATCCACCTCAGAATCATAGTGATGGACTCCTTAATTCTTTGAAAGGAAGAAGGAAACCATCTTCCAAGCACGAATTTGAGTGTCCATCTCCTCCTTCCTCCGTGAGTGGGGTTACCAGTGTGGGAGGGAGCAGCACTGAGTGGTTGTGGCTTATTGCTTTGGCCTCTAAACTCAGCTGGCACCAAAGTTCCGTGCAGCAGCCAGATATGAATATTCATGGAGTCCTCACAGAATGGTCTGGGTTGGCAGGGAACTCAAAATTCATCCAATTCCACCCCCTGCCACAGCCAGGGACACCTTCCTTACAACAGGTTTAAATCTATTAAATGCAGTCAGCAGCCAGCACATGATTATTTGGCTTCTTTACAGCTACAGTCCAAAGTGTTAATGAGAAAGTTTTACAGCACAGTTTTCCCAGTTCTCTTGCAGCCTCTTTTCCCATTTCTGTGTGTCAGTTACTTGTTTTCTTCTTTTCAGAGTATGTTCTTCTTTTCTGAAAAACAGCTCTTCTTCCGAGGGCCCTGGTCAGAGGAAAAGATTTACAGATGAGGATGTGATACAGAGCTGGCACTTAGTCACTTGCTGGAAGAATAAATATATATTGCTGGGAATATTCTGTAATGAAGAAATATATATAATATCATAGGTGTGTAACTTTCCAGGCTCCTGAGATTTAAATTAATGGGAAGATTTTTCTACCATTTCCAGACCCATAATTCAGCCAGCAATCTGCAGTGGTGGTGATTTTGTGCATGGCTGGTAAATGACAGATCTGCTGCAGATCACAATGAAAACTATTTCTGAAGGGCTGTTCATAAGGACCTGAGCTCTGAAATCCTTCTTATTCCTTGCCGTGCTGTGAGTTAGCCTTTGACTGTCCTGAGAAAGGAAAATGTTTCAGCTTCCAGAGCAGTGACAAAAACCAACAGCCCCACTCCAAACCTCATTTGTATTGAGGCAGACACACACACACTACGCCCTAAAGTCTTAATGAAAAGTTTAGAGCTTTGGGCATCTTCAAATTCCTGATTAAAGCAAGGACTGGCTGGAAGTTTTCCACTGTTTACTCCCAAACATGCAAATACTAAATTTTAAAACCCATCTGTTCTTGAGTGTGTCTGTAGATTGCAATTGAGCCAATTTAGTCTTAAAATACAAGAAATGTGCCACTGTTTGCAGGACTGAGTTTCCCTCTTGCTTGGCTGTTTGGCACATGGCTACTGCATTCTGAACAGTCAAATGTTAATCAGCTTCTGAGAGAAGCAATCAGCAGCACATTAATACTAAAAATTTTCAATTTGCAGTTCAGACAGTTGTTTTTCATTTTGGAAATTACAAAGCATAATTTCCTAATTTAAAAAAATTAATTAAATTAATTGAAGTTTAAAAATAAAAATAAAAATAAAAATTAAATTAAATTTAAATTTTTAATTAATAATTAGAATTTTAAAATTTAATTTAAAAATTAAGCAATTTTTCCTAATTAAAAAAATAAGCAAACGTGGGCACTATGAGATGAAATGCTGCCCCTTTTCAAAAGAAGGGCAAACTGCAGGATTTGAGCTCATCACTTTTAAGGACGCCCTCTTTGACTCAGTAGAGCTAGGGCTGAAGTGTCAAAGTGTCTTTTTGATCTTTACCTTCCCTCACTCGGGGACAGAGGAGCTGATTTCCTCGAACACCGTGTTCCTCTATGTCACACCAGCCAAGGTACTTGAAGGAGTCAGAAGGAAGCTTAAATAAAAAAAAAAAAAAAAAGGCAAAATAAAGATATAAAAGAATCAGTAAAAGCTCTGGAGGTTTTGGCACTGAATTTTCTCTTATTTCTGGCCTCATTACAGCAGAAATCCCCCAGTCAGAGCCGTATGCAGGAGCTGGGGGATGCTGTGGGAATTCACAGCTCAGCGGAGGCTGCCGCAGCTCATCCTGGTTAACTCCAATAAATTGGCTCAAATATTGGAGGGAGCCTTCCCAGGGCTCATTGTGGCCCTGGCCAGAGCAGCAGTTTGGTGCTCAGAGGCTGAGGGAAATCCCCTGCCACAGCTCACCCCAAAAAGCAGAACCCTGTTTATATCCCAGCTTTGGAGGTAAACAAAATCCTCTTCAAAGCTGAGGGGGAGATTTCTTCATCTCTTTTCTAAAAACCTGCAATCAGAATGGGAAACCCAACACTTACTGGGAAAGGCAGCCTGGGGTCCCAGTTCTGCCCGAGGGCTCCTCTGCTTTGGGGTAAAACCAGTGGAACGTTGTGGGCATCCCTCAGGATGGAGCAGCAGGAGGAATAGGGTTTAAAGGACTTCTGATTGCTTGTAGTCAGACCTGAGGAGCTAGAGAGGAGATGTTGAGCCAGTGTGGATTCTGTCCAGAGAAATGCAAATTTTGTTGGCTTTGTTTTATAATTACAGAGAATAATTACAGAAAATAATTACAGAAAACACAGAATGGCTGGAGGTAGGACCTGCCAGCAGGCAACAGCCACATCCTGAGGCCAGACCATGGGCAGCCCCCTCACCTGAGCTGCATTTCCTCACACACAGGAGCCTTTCACAGGTGTGTCCAAACACCAGGAAGCGGAATTTCCAGGCAGTTTGTTAGAAAAAATGAGTTTTGGAAAAAATGGAGAGATGAATTTGTCCAGCAGCATGATGTGTTTGTTCCCTTCTACCCAGGAGAGCCCTGCTTTTATGGGTCTGGGTTGGATGAAAAGATTATTTATTTTTTGCCATTGTACATGTGGTTTAACTCATTGTTTTACTAATATTGGTATATTTATTTTAGTCTCTTGGATATGTTCTAGGGGATTCTCAGAGATCTGGAGAAAAGCTGAATTTTGTTCAATAGAGTCTTCAAATCACAGAATCACTATGGGAAAGCTCTCCAAGGTTACCAAGTCCAACCTCCAGCTTGAAGCTGTGTGTTCTTAGTCCCTTGCCTAAGAACACTTCCAAAAGTCACATTTTATACACCCCAAACGAGGCAATTTCTCCAATTGTGCTTCAGAGGGATTGAAGAATTTGCAGGCTGGCAGCTGCAATTTAGGAATTTCCCACAGAACACTTGGAAACAATGATTTAATTTGGGCAGGGTGTGCATCCAGCACTGTAATTTGATGTTTATTCTACAGGCTGGGGGAGCTCTTGCCAGGGAGCCTCAGAATCATCAAACCACTGGAGTCAGAAGCAAAAATAAATAAATAAAATAGAATAAAACAGAATAAAAATGCAGCTTTAAAATGTTTTGGGGAGGGAGGTAAGGAAGGTCTCATAGTGGGAGTAAGAGAGAGGCTAAACAGAGCATTGGTTAAAAGGGACAGTGACAGATTATTGGCAAACCCTGATGAGGAGAGGTGTCCTGGTGACCTCAGTGCAGGAGCAGCCCTGACAAGCAGCTCTGCTCCCTTCTGCTTTATGCTGGGCTTTAATGGGGTCACAGCAGCCCCAGTGAACTGTGGGTGACTCCCAGGAAGCTGTGTGAGCTCAGCATTTTGGAAAATAACAGCTATTTACTGAGACACCTTCTGAGGTCACCTCGAGGCAAGCAGCCCCTTGGGGGGTGTGTGCTGGAGAGCAGCAGGAGCTCACACACAGCAGCCCTGTGGAGAAAAGATTTACTTTGGGTAAATGGTAAAAAAAAACCCCAGAAAATAAAAAAGCGCTGGGAATTCTTGTGTAGCTCTGTCTTGCTGTTTGTTCTGCTTTTGCCTCCTTGTATGTTAAATGAGATCAGAGCAAAGGAAATTTGTAGAAATTCTTTTGTGTTTAAGAAAAAGATCTGTTATTTTGCTCAGTTTGGAGGTGATCTTTTAGGATGTATTCAAATGACTATTTATAACTGTAAGACTTTTCAAAACTACCTTCCTCTCAGCTAGATACTACCTCCTCTGCTGAGACAGGAATATACACTCTCAGTGCCTGGAAATGTGGGCTAAAACATTTTAGCTGAACCATTTAACATGATATCTTTCCTGATCTCCTGGCAGGAAACCCACTCACAAAACTCTGCATCGGTGATGGCAAGTAAAACATAAAGTTCCAGAAAAAAAATAAATATGTGATGGATACAACTTCCCCAGTCAGGTGGGTAGTGAGATTTCCATGGGAAGGAGTGACAGAAAGAGAGATCTTTCATCTCAAAGCTGCCTGGGTTTAATAAGCACCAGCTGGACCCCCACATTATGCCACAGGAGATTTTTCTGGAGGTGCAAGTGCCACACAGCTTTCCTCTCCCTTGCTTTGTTTACCTTCCTATTTTGCTGCAGAATTGATGCAAAAGGAGTGGCAATGAAGGAGGCAGGATGCAATTCCAAGCAATTACAGATCTCACAATACATGAAAGGAACAAAATTTCCTGCCTTGATTGTGAGGCCCTTCGGCTGGATATGAATCTCCAATGACACCTCTGGGAGCAGCACACTAGATTATGTCAAGCATTAAGGGGAAAAAAATTAGATTCATGATGTCTGTCCAGGCTGAGTCATTTCCTCTCACTTCGCCTGCAGTGAGAAATTGGTGGTTATCATAAATCATGGACCTAAATTCTTATGAGAGAAGAATTAATTTCACTAATGGAAACCCTCTGTAGCAATTGCATTCCTCCATTCCCCCTCTTTTTGGGGGGTGTAGGGGAGTATTTATGGTGTCTTTTAAGCAGAGGTACTTGACTATATTTTAAGAATTCAGTAATAGAGGTTTGGAAAGGAAACTTCAAAAGGTAATGGGGGAAAAAAAATCTTGTGTGTGACCAGCTCCTAATTTCTGAGGCTGGCCCTCAGGCCAGTTCTTATCGTGGCTACAGCTTTGCTGCTGACACCAAATCCAGGTACAAAACTTATTTTTCATCTCAGTAATAAACAAAACCCCACAAAACTGTACCAAACAATTCTTTGCAGGCACCTTGAAGTCTGGAGTGCTCCGTGTGAGCTAAGAGGGAGCACAGGCTGGGGGGTTGGGGGGAAGCACGCATGGCTAACCCCTTACATTCTACATTATTCTCCTCAGTGGAAGTCCCAGCGAGGAATTCAGTGCCTGAAGTGTTTTGCAAACTGTCAGGAATGAGAGCAGAACAGCTCCTGCCTTTTTCAGAACATCACTGAGGAGATAATCAGACTGTACCCTGGAAAACCCTGCACTGCTGATCTCCCTGATCAAAGTTCCTCCTCATCAGGATGTCAGTGTCAGCTGTGGGGCTGGGAAATGTTCTCCTCTCAGACACCTTGGCCAGGTTTCCAGAGAGCCCAGGATGCTCCAGGTTTCCTGAGTGCAGTGCAAGAACCTCTGAGTCCTGCTGCCTTTCAGTGCAGGACACATTAAAAGCCCACAAAAAGACTTTGAAGAGCTAAAGCTGAGCTGCTTCTGAAACTGCACCAGTGAAAGATATTGAGTGAGAGACAGAGTGAAAAGTCCCTCCTGTGTGTATTTTAGCTATTTGGCTGTTAAAAAGGAGTGTCAGTCAAATCCTTTCTCCAGATGAAACAGCAGCCTCGAAAAACAAACATCTGAGACTGCAGCACAGGTTCAGCCCTGCTGCACAGAAAATGGGGAGCTCAGCTCAAGAGGAGTAAGGATAAAGGGGGTTATGAGCAAACTCTTGCATTTGGGATTTGAAAGGCTTTTTGTCACAGCTTTTGAGCAGTTTTGGGGTCTGATCTAGCTTCTCACAGCCTTATCCCAGCTGCTCTTCAGGAATCAGCATTCTCCAGCAGGCTTAGCTTTCACTGAGCCACAGCTGCTTTCCCCTTAAATCTGAAATGGATAAAAGGTTTGGGAACAAGTGGTAGGGTTATTTATATCTCTTCACACATCCAGAGTCAGAATTCCCGTGGTGCTTGCTGCATCCCACCAAATCACAGCCCACATCTGATGGAAAGGGCCCTGCTCCTGTGGCTGAGCTCAGGGAGCTCTGGTCAGGTTCTCTTTTAGCAGCAAAATTATCTCAGTTTATTCAGTCCTGATGCTGTGGAACTGAAAAATGTGCACCATTCTAAAGGAAGGAACCAAATTGAATGGGTTTCAACATCATCTTGAAGGAATACAAACAAAACAAAAAAAATTCAAACTAGAGAAACTAAGAAAAGAGCAATAAATCCTCCCAAAGCAAAGAGTTTGCGAATGGGTTTCAAGATCATCTTGAAGGAATACAAACAAAAAAAATATTCAAACTAGAGAAACTAAGAAAAGAGCAATAAATCCTCCCAAAGCAAAGAGTTTGTATCACTGTGTGAGAGCTGCTGGTTTTGTAAGTGCTAAGAGAGATTCTGGACCTGTCCAAACCACCTGCACATGTAAGTGCTTGCTCCCAGGTTCCAGACATCCAATTATTTATGTTGTCCCAGTCAATGGAAATGCCAAAGCCACAAATGAACTGTTGGGGTAATTTACCAACAGAATTTGTGAAAGTGTTTAAGAGATGGCAAACTCAGAATTCAGGCTGTGCTTCATTTCAAATGCACACAATTTACTGCTCCAGAGCAGCTCTGCTTGTATGCAAACATTTATTATGAGAACTCTCTGAACTTAGGAGAGAGGAAGATATGGACATAATGTTTGCATGCTCTATTACCTTTCAATTATTTTTATAGGAGTTTTAGGAGACATTATGCAACATTTTGAAGCAGTTCTTCTGAGCGTAATTTAGTGACAAACACACCTGTAAGTTATGGCTACAAAGCATCCTTGCTGATAGCTGTAGCATCAATTATCTTGCTTTATGCTTCATAAAATTGCCCCCCCCACAAGACATAATTAACTTAATTAGGTCCTATCACCATAATGATACACTCTTAGCATATTAACTAGCATTTTCCTCGTGGATCCAGCTTGCACCAACACAAAACCCACATCTCAATCCACGTGCCTTCCACACATTCTCACAACAAACTCAACATTGTTGTTGGGACAGCTTTTTCCTCCAGCAATCAGGCACTGACACCAAGAAAAACAGCTCTGTTTGAACTCCTGTTTTCCCTGCACAGCAATCTCCTTCAGCAATACAGCTGGTACATTTTAAAAAGACACTCAATCCTGTAACTCTATCTTTGTTGTCAAAGCATGTCAAGCAATGACTACAGGTTCGTGTCTCCTTGCACCCTCCTACCTTTCAGACATGTCTGGCTGCTGCGTAAAATCCTCACATCTTGCACAGGGCTACTTGTACAGGCAGAGCTTATCTTCCCATCTCTGGCCCTGCACAGGGAGGGAGTTCCAGGGCCTCTGGAGAGGGGGAACCTGCCGGGATGCTGATCCTGGGTGGCTGGATGCATTCGCTGTCTCCAAGGAGACGCTGTCACCCCGCAACGCTGCTGTCACGTTAGGAGCTATTGTTACCAACCTCTTAAGCACATCAAACAAATTCCCGGCCTCACCGAGCTGGTATCAGTGAACTGTCTTTCCAGAAGGTGCCTAAAGATAGGCTGGTGATACCTGTGGCAAGATACGTGATCATCCAGCTGAATCTCTGCTCTGCTTGCTCCGGCCGCTTCACTCTCACCAATTGCTGTCACAGTTTTGCCCACTTGAAGTTCGTGTTTTTGTTGCCTAAAAGATCTCCTGCCTCATTAATGGCTTGTTAAAGGCCTTATTAATGTATCTGTTGGATGAAAAGGAAATACTTAAAGCGGCTCAGGTTTTATGTAATGTTCAGGAAAGTTCTTTATGGGCACCTCTTCTCTGTTGGGCGTCCTTGCCTCATTGGAACGTGCTCAGCCATTTTAGGAACATCTTCCAGGCTTCCTTCTTCGAGTTTGCAGCTGAGAATGAAAGCAAGAGGTTCTTCTCTTGGTGGGAAACAACAGGCCAGGTTTGTGTCTGTTTTTATATTATATTTTTCTTAAAACATTAAAGCTGTATGTTCTGAGAATCAGCCCAGTGAGTTATTCTCTTCAAAATGAGTTTGATTTTCATTTGTTCATCCAGATGAAGTGCAGGTGCTGGCAGGGTTCCAGGGTGGAATTGCAGCAGCCCAGTGTGGCTGTGGGCACTGCTTGGTCCCTGCTGAAGTTCCCAGATGGCTTTTAAACTCCACCAGTGTTGATGGGACCTGGGTTTTGGAGGAAGGTTACAATGGAGCTGTAAATTGTGCCCTATTGATCTGTGACTCCCACACCACAGGCACAGCCCCTTCCTCACTGGAGCTCCTGGGCTCTGTGCTGAAAAAAAGAGGGGGTAAATAGATTAAAATCAATGTGGAAAAAGTGCACAATCCCCTCTGGCCAGGGATATTCAATTGGAATATAGTCATGTAGTCAAAACCTCTGTGGTTTAGACTTCTACCTTGCAGCTTCTTCACAGAAAAAACATTCCTTGTCCTCCTTTTCCTTCACATTTCTCTTCCCTTTTTTAGGTCACTACAAAGGCAGACCATTATAAGGTCTTTCTGTATAGAAAGGTCTGTGCTTTCCCCAATGGTTGCTGAAGGCTCCAAAACCTTCTCTTAGAAATTCTGCTGGCAAATTTCACCATGCCAGCAAAGCAGAGGGGAACAATGGTAATTAGAGAATTTCAGCTCCATGTGCAGGCATTCCATGGTTCCAAATGTTGAATTGACACATCGTTATGTGAAATTTAACAAAGTAGTCATTCCACCCAGGTTTCATTAAAACTTTATGTGCTAAGAACTCAGTTTATTACGGGGTGGGAGAGGACAGGGTATTAAGAGATTCATCAGGTCACTTGAGCGAATCATTTCTCTGTCTGCTAAGAATAAAGAAATTAATATCTAAATCAAACAAGATTGTAATTTGGGGCCTTTCTACTTACCATTTTTTCCTCTGTCTATAAAATGAAAGGTATTGGTCCCCATCACAGCCTAATGGGCTTCAGATCTTTTATGGCAAATGCATTCCTCATAAAGCCCATGAAAAATTATCTCTGTGCTATTTCAGAGGAACGACATATTTTACATGGTGTCGGCCTTTCCATTATAAACACTATTTTTCAGATCTTTACAACCTGCCCATAAAAATGTGCTTCTGACAAGAAATTCAGCAGTGTGTCCCCAGCTCTGCAAGAAAGAAATCTTTTCTCCAACTTTATCTAATTTTGGCCAGTAATTTTGTCTTTGAATTGGGTAAACAGAGGGTGGGCATTGGTTTGAACCCTATGTCTCTCACATCTTTTTTTTTTTTTGTTGGTCCCATTGGATTCTTCTCTGCATGTCCATGAAATTTGTAGGAACTGGGCAGAATCCAGCTCATCCTGAGGTCTGATTAATGACAGAAACAATCCCAATTATTCTCACTGCTGTAGGCCACCAGAGGCCCCGTTGTTCTGAGCACCACAGAAAGTCAGGAAAACAGAGTTTGCTCCAGAGGGTTTGTGCTCTAATTGAACAGAGCAGACAGACAAAGAGTAGGAAGAAAGGAAATAATATTATCCCCCCTCCTTTTATACAGAAATAACTGAGATGCTCAGACCATGAAATCCTGGCACTGTGGGAGCAGACATTCTGTTCCTGTGCCCAGGGTCAGCATTCACACAGGATTCCCAGCCACTGACTTTGTTAAGACCAGACTGGATGAACAGTCTGGCTTTAATGTCTGCAATTACTGGCTAGTTTCTGAGCTGACATTTTGTTGATCATCTTCAAAGAGCACTTGAAAGAAATTTATCTATTATAACATTTTTCTGATTCAGGGATAAATCAGTTTGTTGACATAATTTTATGTTCTTTATGTAAAATCCCCTAATTTTTTTGGTGTTAACTTGATACAAATTGGTGATATCAAACCATCAGGTCGATGCCACCAGTAAAATCAGACCTAAATACATAACGACATCAGCAGAAAGATAACTTTTATTGATCTTACCTGGTCTGAACATTTCCAGGAATCCAGGCCATTCATGTTGGATGAGTCAATTAAAAAGAGAGAATTTCTTGGGGTATTTCAGTGGTGTGATGTGCACGGCCCTGGAAGAGGAGCTCACTTTTGGTGCACAAAGGCTGATCTGTGCCTGGGCAGACAAGCAGGCACTCTCACTCCAACCAACAGGTTGCTTTGCTGAGTTACCCAGGAAACACTTCCCTTTCTGTCCTGCCCATTCAGGATTCCAGGAATCCAAGTGTCTCATTCCCACTTGGAGAGCACTCCCAGGGAAAAGCCAAGGACAACAGAACGAAGCCTTGGGCAGGAGGAGAGCAGAGTTAGTGAAACGTTTCATCGGGGCCGCCAGACAAAAAGGAACCAACAACTGGCTGCATAAATAATTGAAGTGAAAACTGTATATGCCTGCTTTTCTGAGGTGTTACAAACCCATGGATTCCAAGAGGCTTTTGGAGGGGCTGTAACCAAGCAACAAGGACTGAAATTTGGTTCTCTCTCCTGGAAAAACAATGGGCTTGCAACTCATAATGACAACGCCTGGCACTGAAGAGTGAGCCCTTCCTTGGTTTAATAGTCTTTGGATGAAACTATAAGAAAAGATGATTATGGAATGAAGAAAGCATTTTTACTTGGCTTAGGAGAGGCCTATTCCAGTATCAAATCTGCCTGTTCCTAAACAAAATGGAGGTCAGCAAGTTCTGGATGAATCTGACACTGAGGAAAGACTGCAAATAAGCAACATCTCAAGATTTTCTTTCTCTAAACTTTATTTTCAAAAGAAATAATGGACATAATTTGCCTGCATGAAAGAGAAAACATGGCTGTATCCCAAGTGGGGTTGGCGGCACACAACACTCCTGGTTGATGATTCCTCCCATTATTTACCTCACTGAAATGAGTCTATTTTCCCTGTTACCTTAAAACATGGCTTCTGTATTGGATGAAGTCACTGCATCCCTAACCCAGAGATGCACATAAGATCCTGACTGACCCTAAAACTTTCTTTTCAAAAGAAACAATGGACATAATTTGCCTGCATGAACGAGAAAATGTGGCTGTATCCCAAGTGGAGTTGGCGGCACACAACACTCCTGGTTGATGATTCCTCCCATTATTTACCTCACTGAAATGAGGTCTATTTTCCTTCTTACCTTAAAATATGGCTTTTGTATTGGATGAAGCCTAACCCAGAGATGCACATAAGATCCTGACTGACCCTGTAGCCTTGAAATATATTGAAAAAAATTGGTTTATTTCATCCATCAAACTCCTGCCTTCCTGAAAATCAGAATACTTTGGAGTCACCAGAGCACTTCTTTATTAAAGTGGCTTTGCCAGGTTGTCATATAGGAGATATTTGAGAGAAATAGACATAATCTCTTTAAGGATGGGATGGGAAAATAATTGTATTGCTGGGCCAAGGTGGTAAAAAGTACTCAGCTCTACAGGAGCTTAGAAAGGAGGGAAAGGACAGGAAAACATGGAAAACCAATGCAGTTGAATGACAAACACAGCTCAGTTGTTTAAAATTCAGAGCTCCCTGTCCCCATTCCAATCAAAGAAGGAGCTGGGAACTCTGAACGTGTATTTACAGGCAGAACTTGTTCCTGACATCTCCCATTTTTTATCCCTATTATTTCCCCCAGTCTTATTGCCAAAAGAAATTAAGTTCAAATGAATGCCTGGTTATTCAGTGTCTGCAAGGATAACAAAGATGTTCTCCAGCTGAAAGCAGCAAGCAGGGCCTCCTGTGATGGTGGGGAAAAGAGAGAGGAGCATGATGAGAAGAATCAAGAGTTTTTATTAAAGGTGTTGTGCTCATGCAGCTTTTGTCGGGAAATCCAATTAATTTACTCCCACTTGCTTTCATTTGGAGCAAATGGCAGCCCTGTGTCACATAAAAAAAGAATGAGCCTTGCTTCTCTCCAGTGCTTCTCTTCTGGGCAGCAGACAGACACACTGCAGCTGTCCACAGCCCCTGCATTCAAAGTTGGGAGCTGGCACGGCCTGCCAGAAGAAATTAAATGTAATGAAAACGTGTTCCTGCTCAAAGTCAGGGGCTGCCTTTGCTGTACCACATCCTTGTGTCCTGAGGGCTACACCACCTTGTCCTCCCAGCAGTGCCGGGGGAGCTGAGCCATTCCTGGGTGGTTTTACACCGATTTGTCCTGCGGCTGCTGAGGGGCTGTACCTGCTGAGCAGGGGATTTCTCAGCTGCAGGCATTTTCCATCCACAAGGCACAGCTGGAAATCTCTGTTTTAAATCAGTGGAGAAGGGATTCTGGACTTGGATACATTCAAAAGCCAAGGAGAGCTTGAAGAATCTTCCCCTGGGAGGTTTCCCTGGCACACCACGGGCTTGGCACAGCAGTGCTGGCACTGCAGAGCTCTGCTGGGGCTTACCAGAGCCCATCAGGGCTCCCTCCCTGGGCACCAGCTTTCCCTGGGTCTCAATCAGAGCCCAGTGAAGGCAAAGCACGGGCTGGAAGTGACTTCAGCCAGTGCCTCACTCTGCTTCAGCTCTTTGCAGCCCAAAATCCCCTCTGTTTTCCAGAGGTCATTCCCCACCTCACGTTTTTGCTCGAACAGAGATGAGGTGATAGGAGAAGCATCTTTTAAGGGAAAATAAAAAGGATTAAACCTCATACACCTCCCATCCATCCTGATCTTTGGACTTCCAAGGGGCTCCAAGCCCACTCACTGCTGGCCTAGAGGGGCTGTGAAGGGGCTGGTAAACCACTTTGTGTCACAGTGTTCTCCAGCCACAGCCTGCCAGGTCCCTGAACCAGTCTCAGCCATTAGCCACACCATCTTTCAGCTG